GGGGGGGGGGGGAAGAGGCTTAGAATCCTATTTCGAAGCTCACATCGGGTTCCAGACCTTTAAGGACAAGTCAACAAGTTGCTTAAAGAAATTCATCTTCTAGTTTTTGCAACTAATTTGTTTAAAATAAAACAAACATAAAAGTAAACCAAAACACTGTCAAGGGCAAATAGCATACATGTGAAAACATGATTCAGCCTGCAGGACTTCAGTTTGCAATCTCTGGGTTAGAGCCTAACCTAGAACAACCAACATGGTTTGAGGCAAGTAAAGAGAATGTGGAAGCAATTTGTTGGAATGGCTGGACAATATATCTGTATTAATGAATGAGTCCAGAGCACATAGCCAAAGGCGCAATCCAGCTGGTGGCCATGGGGATTTAAGGTTTTTCGCTCTCAGAGAATAACAAATACCATCCATATTTCCTTGATTATGGTCTTTAGTCTCCACATCTCTAGTATCTTCTAATTCTATTGGGCATCCCATGTTGCACAAATTTGGGGGAGATTAGTTTCTTGAGAAGTAATCTAATGTAGCTGTGGTTTAGATTTGTTTTGGTATTGACATTTCCTAGAGAACTCCAATAAATAAGTAGGTAGGAGCTGAGCTGCTGTGGTTAAATCTGGTGACGTGGCTCAAGTTGGGAATGTAATGATGGGAACCTTTTCTCTCTCAAGTCTGTCCCTGAGGTCTACAGCTCCAGAATGCTAGTATTCACAACACTGTGCTTCATCTTGATGTTAGACCATGTGTGGATCTGTACTTCCTTGAGAGCGATTAGGGTTTCTATTCTTCTCTTTACTTCAGCAGCTTTGCTCATTTGTGGTATTGTAATTTTTCTTCTAGTTTTAAAAAGATGCTGGCTTGAACTCAGTGGTGGTAGTGGACATGGAGAGAAGTAGACCTACCTAGTTGAGGTATGTTTTGCAGTGCTGATGTGGTTTGCTGATGGACTGGATTGGAGGTGGTGGCAACAGAAACCAAGAATAAGCCCTAGGCTGTAGCTTAAGCAACTGGGCCAAGAGTCAATGTTAGGTTTGAGATGCACCCATTAAAATTTCAAGTGGAGGGGCCGATAGGCAAATGAATACAATAGCCTAAAGCTAGGGAAGGGATGTCAGGGTTGGAAATGTAGAGTTATACGGAATTGATATTTGGTTTTCAAGGTCAGGGACCCAGATGAGATGATCTAAAGAATATTTAGATAATGAGGGGCGCCTGGGTGGCTCAGTTGGTTGAGCGACTCAGCTCAGGTCATGATCTCACAGTTTGTGAGTTTGAGCCCCGCGTCGGGCTCTGTGCTGGCAGCTCGGAGACTGGAGCCTATTTCAGATTCTGTGTCTCCCCCTCTCTCTGCCCCTCTCCTGCTCATGCTCTGTCTCTCTCTCTCAATAATAAATAAACGTTCAAAAAAAATTTTTAAAAAGAGAATATTTAGATAATGATAAGGGGGCTCAGGCAAAACTCTATAGTGATTCCAGTATTGAAAGGCTGAGCTGGGGCACCTGGGTGCCTCAGTCAGTTAAGCATCAGACTAATGATTTTGACTCAGGTCATGATCTCCCAGTCATGGGATCCAGCCTTGTGCCAGGCTCTGTACCAGCAGCACAGAGTTTGCTTGGGTTCCCTCTCTCCCTAGCTCTCTGCCTCTCCTCCACTGGCATTTGCATTCTCTCTCTCTCTCTCTCTCTCCCTCTCTCTCTCAAAATAAATAAATAAACTTAAAAAATAAAATAAAATAAAAGCAGAGCTAAGAAAGAGCCAGGTAGAGTTGTGGCTACAGCTGTCACAGAAAACTTCCAAATTCCCCACCGCAGCTTATTGGACCTATAGGTCTGACCCCTGCTTACCTCTCCAGTTTTCTCTTACCAATCTCCCCGCCACCAACTGTACACTAGGTCTTTTTGCCATTTTTCAAGTATGTCAGGTGCAGGTCTTCCTTAGGGGCCTCCCACCAGCTTTGAGTGCTCTCCCTTGTCTGCCTCTCTTCATAGGCCTGGATCTGGTCAGAGCCCAGCTGAAAAATGTCACCTCCTGATTTGGCCTTTCCTGACCACCCAATCTGAAGTAGTCATCCATGCTCCTTCTAGTCCATTACCCCCTTTTAAGTACCTACAGAGCACCTGTTTCATCTTCTAACATTAGTCTCTTTGTCCACTCGTCACAGAACCGAGAGCTAGCCCCATGAGCACAGAGCTCCCCAGTCTTGCTCACTGCTGTATCTCCAACACCTGCAGTCGCAGCTGGCACACACGAGACTCAAGAGTGTGGACGATGAGGTGGAATTCTCTCTAGAAGTTCTGCACAAAATTTACAGAAACTACTGGGTCCTTATTTGCCTATATATCAGAGACAAGAAACTTGTCTGCTGAGATGGTAATTGTACTGCACTCTGTGAAAAAAACGAAGAACTATTTTTCTTTCTTTTTTAACTTTTAAAAAGGTTTATTTTTGAGCGAGAGACAGAGTGCGAGCAGCAGAAGAACAGAGAAAGAGGAAGACACAGAATCCGAAGCAGGCTCCAGGCTCCGAGCGTCAGTGCAGAGCCCTGACGAGGGGCTCGAACTCACAAACCGCAAGATCATGACCTGAGCCAAAGTCAGACGCTTAACCGACTGAGACACCCAGGCATCCCTTTCTTACTTTTTTTTAAGTTTATTTATTTATTTTGAGAGAGAGAGAGAACAAGCAGGTGAGGGGCAGAGAGAGATGGAGAGTCAGAATCCCAAGCAGACTCCACACCATCAGTGCAAAACCCAATATGGTGCTTGAACTCACGAACCTTGAGATCCTGACCCAAACTGAGATCATCAAACACCCAACTGACTGAGCCACCCAGGCACCCCAAAGAACTATTTTCTAGCACAAAAGTTAGACACAAATATAAATTCACACTGCTTTGACCTCTCTTCGTTTTAAACATTGTGTCAAAACTACTGAGGGAAGGGGCGCCTGGGTGGCGCAGTCGGTTGAGCGTCCGACTTCAGCCAGGTCACGATCTCGCGGTCTGTGAGTTCGAGCCCCGCGTCGGGCTCTGGGCTGATGGCTCAGAGCCTGGAGCCTGTTTCCGATTCTGTGTCTCCCTCTCTCTCTGCCCCTCCCCCGTTCATGCTCTGTCTCTCTCTGTCCCAAAAATAAATAAA